ACCCTGAACCCTAAACCCCTGAAAGCAACTGTCTGGGCAAAAACGCCGATGTTGAACTTTTTGTCTAAACAGCGGCACGATTCCAAATCCAATGTTGGTTCCAATTTGGCTGACAAGTCCAAGTTTCGTATAGCTTGGTGACCTGAAAAGGACCTTAATCTAGAGAACTACCCATAGTTACCTCAAGAGCTAAGAGGGAAACCCACACTTTCTACCCTAGATCTCTACCAACAACTTAAAAACTCAGAGAACCCCCTTAAACCCTAAACCGTAAAACGTAAACCCTAAACTCTAAGGCCTAAAGCTTGGATCCAAAAGCCAATAAACCCTAAACCTCAGACCCTGCTAATGTATGGTTTCTTTGCAGAGATGCGAGCAGGCCGTCGTGAAGCCGAGGAAGCCTGCGATTCGTTCGGGCTTTCTTTTCGGTTTCTTAAACCCTAAACCCTAAACCCTAAACCTTTAGGATTTCGGCTTTGAGGTTAGGAGTCAGGCTTAGGGTCTGTGGTTGAGGGTTGACAGTTGATGGCTTAGGGTTTAGAGTTTAAGGCTAAGGCTAAGGGGTCAAGGATGAATAAAAGAGCTCAGCAGCTAGCCTGCGGTGTGAGAGAGAATGCGTGTCATATACTACAGACATCTTCGGCACTGATTCGGCCCTTACTTAGCGGATCATGGGACGTAGCAACCAGGGTTATCATCAGGGGAACCATACTTGCAATTACTGATTACCCCAACCCTAAACCCTAAACTGGGGTTCTTAAAACTTTACTTACTGAGTCCCACTCCTCCAGGTATGCCGATTTCAAGACCGACAAACTCAAGAAGGATCCTTTCCAAGGGTCTTTGAGGTGAGGCGTGAAGCGCTGCGAGACAAAGGTTTCATGTAAGGGTTTTACAATATTAGGGTTTAGGGTTTAGGGGTTTTGGGGTTTTGCGGTTTATCAAGTTCTAGAATGAGGGCTCTCATAACTTAAAGGAAACTACACGTAGGGAGTTTAGGGTATATAGGGCTTCTTTGAGGCTTCTACAAGGTATATAGACCTTATATAAGGCTCTTATAATAGTAACTACCCACCTGAAAATGTCCTAGAATAATGGTGGTTTTCAAAGCCACGAACTGACATGTAGGGTATCTGGACCTTCGCAGCAAACACAAGTCAGGGATGAGGCCGGCAGATGCCGTCATTCTTGGTGGCCCCTCCTTAAACCCTCAAGCCTAGATCCAAAGCCCTAAACCCTAAACCCTAAGCTGTTGCCCTACACAGCCTTCAAGGTGATGTTGCCATGCCACCAGTGTCCCGCAGAGACATAGGGTCCCTCAACCCTAAACGCTAAACCCTAAACCCTAAACCCTAAAAACCAGCGCCCTCTGGAGTCCACGAGCCATGTCCACTTGCGTGCGCTCGATCAAAGCATCGACGACTGCGTCGGCTCGCGTCTGGGCAACTCGGTGCCCGCGGGCACGAGCCTTGATGGCAAACAGGGGTCTTACTAATTTCAATAGGGTTTTCGATGTTCTTCTACAATAAGTACAATAAGGTTCAAGATTTCGGGCTAGGAACCAAACCCTGAACCCTTCTACAACAAGTAAAAAAAGGAAACCAAACCCTAAACCCTTCTACAATAAGTACAATAAGGAACCAAACCCTAAACCCTTCTGCAATAAGTACAATGAGGAACCTTGTTACGGAATCATACCTTCAACCCTAAACCCTAAACCCTAAACCCTAGATCCTAAACCCTAAACCCTAGATCCTAAACCCTAAACCCTAAATCCGAAACCCTAAACCCTAAACCCTAAATCCGAAACCCTCAACGCTAAACTGGCCGATGGTTCAAGACTCTTGAGCTTCTTTGAGCTTCTAAGCCCAAAACCCTAAGCCCTAAACGGTTTAGGGTTTGGAGGTTTAGGGTTTAGGGTCTAGGGTTATGGGTTTAGGGTTTAGGGTCTAGGGTTATGGGTTTAGGGTTTAGGGTTTAGGGTAGGGCTCTCTGTAGCAACCACACACAAACCACCAAAAACCTCACATGAACCCATAGAAACCCCAAAACAAAAAACCTTGCGGGCCCAAGGTGGAGGGCTCAGTTCCCAGTGCTAACGCCCAGAGTGCCCAAGCCCTTTTTAGTGGCCACTGGTTTAGGGTTTAGGGTTTAGGGTTTAGGGTTTAGGGTTTAGGGTTTAGGGTTTAGCGGGAAATACTCACCCTAAATCAGAAGAAGAAGCATAAGCCCTAAACCCTAAACCCTAAATCAGACCTACATCAGAAGAAGAAGCATAAGCCCTAAACCCTAAACCCGAAATCAGACCTGAACCAACCATGGAAGTATGCCATAGTCCTTATTATGGGTAATGCAGGATTTATACCATCAACCCTAAACCCTAAACCCCGGTTTAGGGTTTAGGGAGTTAAAAACCCTGAAAAGCCATAAACACCGAGCCGTCTAGTTAAAGGAAAGCACACGTAGGGAGCTTAGGGTACATAGGGCTTCTACAAGGCTTCTATAAGGTATATAGACCTTCCATAAGGCTCCTATAACGGTAACTACCCACCTGAAGATGTCCTGGATCTAGGTTTACCTTAAGAACCCAAAACCTACTATTTTGTAGGGTCCCTATAAATCCTATATGAGGGTTTATAATAAGAACCTACAAAAGAGTGGGGTTTTGGGTTCTTAAGGTTTAGGGTCCAGGGTTTTTTAAAATCTACGTTAGACCAGTGCTCGCCACATCGGGCACGTAGGATTACCTTTAGGGTTTAGGGTTTAGGGTTTAGGTTTAGGGTTTACGGCCTAAGGTTTAGGGTTAAGGGTTTAGGGTTTAGGGTTTAGGGTTTAGGTTTAGGGTTTAGGGTTAACCCTTAACCCTAAACCCTAAACCCCAAACTGGTAGCTAGTCCATTTCCGAAAGCTCCCGACCGTACATTGTAGAAAGCGGAGTAACGCTGGCTGGCGCGTCAGCGCAGCTACCAGGGAAGTAGAGTCCCGTATATGGGTGGTTTTCTAAATTAGGGTCCCTTTTCAGGTCCTTTTTATAAGGCTGCCGTACTATATTGGGGACCTAAAAAGGGACCCTTGTTTAGAGAACTACTCATATGATGACAACATCATGTACCCCAAACCCCACTCCGATTATTCAGGCCCCGACAAGACTTTATGAGGTGTTGATGCTATTTGGAACTTGGGGGGGGATTACTTTATGAGGTGTTGATGCTATATATTGGGAACCTGGGAGAGAGTATGTGGATGTCGAGGTCTGCACAACCCCTTCAAACCCCTAACACTCTTTGGAAGAAGGAAACATTTAATATAGGGGCCTTTAATAATTAGAATAGGGTTTCGGGGTCCTTTATAGTATACTGTTAATAAGGAACCTGCAAGATAATATTTAGTTATTCAGGCCCCTATATTAGTTACGTTACGTGCTTTCTTCGGAAGTTCGGCCTTGTGCTGACATCCTGCCGTTCACGGTGGGACTAAACTCCATGTGCACGGTTCCGGCAATCGTACCTCCGATGCTTACTGGGTTTAGGGTTTAGGGCACACCTGCGGTTTGGATGGTTTGGAGAGTTTTAGGATTTAGGGTGAGGTTTGAGGATTTATGGCAGGAAATCGAACATTCCAGTGCTTGAATTAATCTTACCGTCTTGCCACTAGAAGAAAGACTGCCATTTGAGCAAAACCTAAGCCCTAAACCCTGAACCCTAAACCCTAAACCCCAAAACCCTGAACCCTAAACCCCAAAACCCTGAACCCTAAACCCTAACCCCAAAACCCCTAAAAAGAAATCTTGAAGGAACGCTTAAAGGTACCCCTCAGCCTTGGTATTCCCGATTTAGCAGAAGATGGAGGCTCTAGGGTTTAAGGGTTTACGGTTTTTAGGGTTTAGGCTTCAGGCTTTAGGGTTTAGGGTTTAGGGTTTAGGGTTTAGGGTTTAGTTTAGGGTTTGGTGCCAACAAAACAACCTGAAAACCTGCATAGCACCCTTCTGAAATCCTTCCAAAACCGTACCAAACCCCAGAGACCCTATCAAACCTGAAGAAACCTATGTAAAACCCAAAGAAACCCGTCTAAGACCTCAAGATCCAAGCACAATTTTCAGGAAGCTGGAAACAGCAATCAAACCTCGGAAACTCGTACAAAATCCTGAGAAACGAGCAAAAAAAGAAAAAAACCTACAATAACCTTGCGAACCCACTTCGAAGAGCCAGCTAAGCCTTAAACCCTCGACTGTAAACCCTAAAACCCTAAAACCCTCAACCCTCTAATGTAGGGGCCTTAATAACTAGAGCGTTTTGGGGTATCTTATACTATCGTTTAATTATTAATTAATAAACCTCCAAAATAGTATTGGTAATTATCTGGGCCCCTAAACCCTAAACCCTAAACCCTAAACCCTAAAGCCCTAAACCCCTAAAGCCCTAAACCCTAAACCCTAAACCCTAAATCCGTAAGTTTGCTTCAGGGCACCGCGCAATCCGCCGAAGGCATCCAGCGACTCTAGCCGGTTTTGGGTAAAGAGGACCTTCGTTTAGGGTTTAGGGTTTAGGGTTTAGGGTTTAGGGTTTAGGGTGTCTCCCCTGCACAGTTTAGGGTTTTGGGTTTCGGGCTTTTATAGACTAAACCCTAAACCCTAAACCCTAAATGTGGGTTTAGGGTTTAGGGTTTAGGGTTTGGGATAGTCCCGAAACCCTAAACTCTAAATTTGGGTTTCGGGTTTAGGGTTTAGGGTGTAGGGACTTGGACGTTCATGCGTTGTTATAAGTGGAGTTATAAGTTAGCTGACTATAGTTTATAACCCATATTCGGGGATTCATCACCCTGCTTATAACTACCCATGAACCTCCAAGCATGGCTTTACGGCTCTGTTACAGTTCATGGTATTAGGATATACATATCTGCTCTAAAATACCGTGTCGAAGGCTTAAGGCCTCGACACGAGGTTCCCGGGCTACAGTTGGGGCTTTGGGTTTAGGGCTTAGGGTTTACGGTCAAGGGTTTAGGCTTTAGGGTTTAGAGTTAAGGGTTTAGGGTTTAGGGTTACAACTACGACTACGACTACGACTACGACTACAACTACGACGACTACTACTACTACTACCACCACCACCACCACCACCACGACTACTACTACTACTACTACTACTACTACTACTCCTCTTGATGCTACTCCTGCTGCTGCTGCTGCACGCTACCACCTACTGAGCCTACTCGTCGACAAGGCAAGCCCTTTAAAACCCAAGCGCTCCAATCTTGGCATTCTTAAACCCAACTGGCTTCTTAAACCCAAAGACGCCACATCAAGATCCCGCACGACCTTCACGACCAAAGACCCTGCAACCTGACCCAATAGGGCTTTGGGCTCATAAACCCGGAGTCAAGCTCTTGACCCCAAACCCTAGGGTTTAGGGTTTAGGGTTTAGGGTTTAGGGCCGCGTCGCCGATCTTTGAAGAAAGCTGCGCGTTCGGATCCTTTGCGGTGAAGGCACCGGGGGCTCAAGAATCATTAGAGAGAAGGGCGTTGGGGCACAATAGAGCATAGTTACAGTAAGGAACCCTGAGGAACAGTATTTTTTTTCTGGGCGGATCATAGAGTCAACATGAGGAACAGTATTACCAATTATTCAGGCTTCTAGGTCCAATGTGACAAAACGGTTGAGAGTTAAACTGTTCAGTGGTGAAGGGCTAAACATTAGAGTTTGGGGTTCTGGCCTTAATGGATTCCTTGGGGGTTCTATGGCATTTCACAAGGTTTCTAGCGTGCGGGGTTTAGGGTTGAGGGTTTTTTCAATCATGGTTGGAATGCCACTCTGGCTGAGGCAGTGATCGAGCAGCCACTGCACATGGGATTCACCACCTAACACCACCAATGACCCAGGGTTTAGCGTTTAGGCTTCAAGCTTTGAGGTTCAAGCTGTGGTAGAGCTTCTTGAGGTCTTGTAGAGCGTCATATAGAAGCCTTGAATAACTGGATAAAGGGTATAATTTTAGGGTTTAGGGTTTAGGGCTTTGGGTTTATATGGGCAGTTGTCTAAATTAGGGTCCCTTTTAGGGTCCATACTATAACGGTGCCGTACTATATTGGGGACCCAAAAAAGGGACCCTAATTTAGAGAACTACGCATGTTATGGCTTAGGCTTCAGAACCCTAAACCCTAAACCCCTAACCCTAATGCCCTAATTTGGAGAACTACCCATATTATGGTATAGCTTCAGAGCCCTGCATTCATGCTTTTCGGGCCGGGAGGTGCAGCTCCTCAGGGTGTTGAGATTTGGGTTTCAGAGCTGGCTTCTCGGAAACTTTAGGGTTTTAGGGTTTAGGTGTTTAGGGGTTCGGGGGTTTTGGGGGTTTAGGGGCTTAGGGGTTTAGGGGTTTAGGGTTTAGGGTTTAGGGTTTAGGGTTTAGGGTTTTCGGGTTTAGGGGTTTAGGGTTTAGGGTTTAGGGCTCATGTTCCAATACTTTTTCCTCAGCTGATTTAGGGTTTAGCGTTCAGGGCTTTGTGGCCCCTTACTAATGAGGGTACCCTTTCTCCTGCTATCCACTTTTACTAAGCAAACCATGCCACTGCTCAGGAACCGAGACAATATGGGTAGTTCTCTAAATTAGGATCCCTTTTGGGGGTCCTTTTTATAATGGTGCCGTACTATATTGGGGACCTAAAATGGGGCCCTAATTTAGAGAACCACCCATTTTCCGACAAGAGCACAGCTTCCTTCAAACAACAGTGCAAGCTGAACCTGTAGCCGACCCGAAATCTAGACCCTAAACCCTAAACCTTGAAGCCTTAAACCT